ATTTTTGGGGTTTTTGGGGTTATTTTGGGGGGGAATTTTGGGGGAATTTTTGGGGGAATTTTTGGGGATTTTTGGATTTTTTGGGGGGGGGGGGGGGGGGAATTTTGGGGGAATTTTTAGGTTTTTTTTGGGTTTTTTTGGGGAGATAATTGGGTTTTGGGGGGGGGATTTTTTGGGAGATTTTTGAGGTTTTTTGGGGGATTTTGGAGTTTTTGGAGGTCATTTTTGGGGGGTTTTGGAGCGAATTTTGGGCGATTTTGGGGTTTTTTCTGGGGGGATTTTTGGGGGGATTTTGGGGCTTTTTTGGAGGATTTTTGGGAGGAATTTTTTGGGGGGTTTTGGAGGAATTTTTTGGGGAGTTTTGGGGATTTTTTAGGGTTTTTTGGGAAGATTTTTGGGGGGATTTTGGAGGGTTTTTTTGAGGGATTTTTGGGGGCATTTTTGGTTTTTTTTCTGGGGGGATTTTTGGGGGATTTTGGGTTTTTTTGGTAGGAATTTTTTGGGGTTTTTGGAGGATTTTTTGGGAGGATTTTGGCGGATTTTTGGAAGGATATTTTTGGGCTTTTTGAGGGATTTTTGGGGGGATTTTGGGGGATTTTTGGAAGGATATTTTTGGGTTTTTTGGGGGGATTTTTTGGCAGTTTTTGGGGATTTTTGGGGCGCCCCTGACCCCCCTGTGCCCCCCCAGGCTGACGCTGGAGGAGCTCCGAGCCCACCCCGAGCTGGACGGGGCTGAGATTGAGGTGAGACCCCAAAAATCCCCAAAATATCCCCAAAAAAACCCCCAAAAATACAAAACCGATCCCAAAAATCCCCCCAAAAAAACCCCAAAAAATCCCCCAAAAAATACAAAACCTATCCCAAAAATCCCCAAAAAAACCCCCAAAAAATCCTCCAAAAATACAAAACCTATCCCAAAAACCCCCCAAAAAAATCCCCAAAAAATACAAAACCTATCCCAAAAAATCCCCTCCAAAAAAACCCCAAAAAATCCAAAACCTATCCCAAAATTCCCCCAAAAAATCCCCCCAAAAAATACAAAACCTATCCCAAAAAAATCCTCCAAAAATCCCCAAATCCAAAAAAACCCTAAAAATTCCTAAAAAAAAAAAAAAAAAATCCCAAAAAAACCCCCAAAAAATTCCCGGAAAATCCATTAAAAAATAGCGAAAAATCCTCCAAAAAATTCCCAAAAAATCCCCGAAAAATCCATAAAAAATCGCAAAACATCCTCAAAAAAATTCCCAAAAAATCAAAAAAAAATCCCTAAAAATTCCCAAAAAAATCCCTAAAAAATCCCCCAAAATTCCCCAAAAAAATCCCTAAAAAAATTCCCAAAAAATTCCCAAAATCCCCAATTCCCCCCAGGCCGAGCTGGGCCCCGGCGGCTCCGCGGATTCCGGAACGTTCCGGGAGCGGCTCTGGGGCCTCGTCCGGGAGCGGCGGCGGCTCCAGGTGGGGCCGGGCCCGAAATTTGGGGAGGGGTCCCGAAATTTAGGGAGGGGTCCCAAAATTTGGGGGGGGTCCCAAAATTTGGGGGGGTCCGAAATTTGGGGAGGGGTCCCGAAATTTGGGGGGGGTCCCAAAATTTGGGGAGGGGGTCCCGAAATTTGGGGAGGGGGTCCCGAAATTTGGGGAGGGGTCCCAAAATTTGGGGAGGGGGTCCTGAAATTTGGGGGGGGTCCCGAAATTTGAGGGGGGTCCCGAAATTTGGGGAGGGG